GAGGCGGAATCTCCTTTGTGATTTGGGGGGTGGCTGGGCAGTGGCAGGGGAAGGTTGGGGGGCACTCCTTGGTTCCAACCGTTATACTTTACAGCACATTCCAGGCATAGCTAATCCTACATCATCCCTGACCAATGTTTATTTAGGCTGTTCTTGAAAACCTCCAAAGATGGAGATTCCACAACTTCCCTGGGCAGTCTGTTTCACTGCCTCACTGTTCTAATAATGAAGAAACTTTTCCTGGTATCCAATATAAACTTTCTTTGCTGCAACTTCAAGCACATGGCATGTGTCCTCCTTTCTATAACAGGGAAAATAGATTTTCTTCCTCTTCTTATGGCAGTCCTTCAAGTATTTGAATACTGCTATCACATTCCCTCTTTTTGCAAATCGAATATATCTGTCTCTTTCAACCTTAAAGTCCAAGGGGCCATGACATGCAGCAAACACACAGATTTCTGATGTGGCTTTTACCTGACAATTTTGCCCACTCCAATTCTTCCTTCAATGATTCTGTAAGGATGTACTTAGCTCTCGAGGCTATGTACAGGCAGTCAAATAGTGCAAGACTGAATTGATTCAATCTTCGCAGGTTAATTTAAGCTGCATGAATGGCGCATGCCCCAGTGGCTGGGGGGGGTACAGATGCGCTGGAGGCCTTGGGAGCATGGCAGGGGTGGTGGGAGTGTAGTGGCAGTAAGCGGGGGAGCTCCTGCAGATGCCGCAGGCACTGTCAGCAGTGGGGTGGGGGAGGCGGCAAGCGCTAACCAGGGGTTGGCAACCACCTGAAGGTGCCAGTGGCAGTGGTGGCCAGGGGTGATCATGGACCACCCGCAAACACCTCTGACAGTGCCATCAGAGCCTTTTTGCAGGGGGTGCACCCCCTATGCTTCACTCCTGTTAAGCTGCATAGATTGATAAGCAAGTGGAGAGACATTCGCTTTTGATTCCAGAAATGCAGCCACATGCCTGCAGCGGCTCAGGCCAGAAGCCAGGGATGCTAGAGCTCCCTGGTGGGCTGGGTTAGGCAACTTGGGCCAAGGCAAGCCTGACCACTCTGTAAGGGGTGGGGGTTGCAGGGGAAGTGCAAAGCATCCTGGGATTCTGGGGGACTTTGAGTTAACTTGAATCTGGAGGGGATCTGGGACAGAAGTTCAATAAACTGATATAACTTAAATCAGTTAAGTGTGATACTGCATCCATCCAGGTTTATCTTAAACTGGTTTCACCTAGTTTGAAAGCAGTTTATGTTTACTGAACTTCTGTTGTGTTATAGAAGTGAACTGCTTTCCGATCACTTATGCCAGTTTATGTGTAATTTCTGTCCTTAGCCTAAGAGTCTCTAACCCAGCTGCAGCTGATCAGTGGATAGTAGCCTGCCTGGCTGGGAGACTAGTAGCCAGCTGGAACAATAAACAGCTAATGAGGGTGGAATCACTAGGAGGCTTAAGAACTCCTGGAGGGAATGGTAGAGGAAAAGAAGGCAGGCTGCTGTGCTGGTGAGAAGCCCAGAGTTAAAAATATGCCCTGTTCCTGTTGTCTGAAGTAAGACAGAGTGTTTGGTAGTTTGCTTCCGTATTTTTTTGTTTGCTGTGTTTATTGCATAGACAAAATTGCTCCATGTAGAATAAAGTGGCCTGAGAACCTGAAACTGGAGCTGACTTGTCTTAGTCAGAGGTGTACATGACCTGCTTAGATATGGTGGAGAAATTGGGACACTTACCCAGAACCATGGAGTCAGAAACTTTGTTAAAATGGCTAGAAGGCCTGCAATAGCAGCAGCTATATCAACAGCTAAAGCTCTAGAAGCAGCAGTTCCAGTGAGAGGAGGAACAGCATCAGTTTATGGAGCATCTCTTGGAGCATGAGAAGACCCTCACATGGTTGATGTGTCACCCTGTTCTTAAATGGAGGAGGGTGGGATACTTATGAAGACGGGGCTGGCAGATGGCCTAGAGGCCTGCTTTGAGAACTTGGAGCAAGTGACCACAGGAATTCTGGGCTCTTCAGATACTTCCTTTTTTAACCAGGGAGGCTCAGGCAGTCTACTGGAGCCTTGGGGCTGCTTCAGCCCAGGACTATAAGACTCTTAAGGCTGTTATTTTGGACTCCTGTTTAATGGATGAGGCACATTGCTGCAGATTTAAACAGGAGACATTTAATTCTGACTCTCAGCCCTGAGCTGTTGTGCAAAGATTGAAAGAGTTCTGCACCTGCTGGTTAAAGCCTGGGTAAAGTTCATCCTCAGAAATAGTGGAGCTGCTGGTTTTAGAACGCTTCTGGTCCATGCTGCCTGTGGGGCCCCTGAAGCAGATCTGTCAGCAACAGGTGTCCAGTTTCGATGAGGTCACTGCTATGGAGGTGGACTTGGACTGTAAGAATTGCCTGGAAGCCCAGCAGGGCCCAAGTTTTAGGAGACTGGGACCATGGAACAGAGACCACCTGCAACTGAAAGGAACTTTTTTTAGGATACCACCATCTGAGTCCCTATCTTGATTTCCTTCAAGACTATGGTTCAGTAGACTGCCCTTGAAGGATCACCTGGGGTAAAGAGGGAAACTTGGAGCAGGCTAGCAGCCTCACAGTGAAGTGGAGCGATTACCTGAATTGTTTTAAATATGGTCAAGGGGACCATCAGTGCAGGGACTATCTCCAAATGGACTATGAGTGTGTCCAAGCTCAAATATCAGGGGCATCAAGGGAATGCCCAGATCTGAAGAGTTATGTGGTGTAGATTAAGATAGGTGATGGGTCTGGTAGACTTAGGATTTGGACAGACCTTTACACGTGAATGGTTTGTGGACCCTGAGGAACTGCAAAGGGTAAAACATGTCTGCGTGTTGCGAATATCAGACAGTACCTACAACCAATGTGAACCTACCTACTGGGAAGAAATAAGTTAGGATATTCTCACCACTGTGGCCTAATACCTGACCTATCTAATGGATAGGTCAGCATTGGAGCTCAATCACCAAACTGTTATGGTTGGCTTGGAAGGTTGAGATGAATTTGATTGATCCCAGTCCAGCCAAGCAGGAGTTAGAGGGGAATTTATCAGTTGCAAACTTTGCCTTTTAGACTCCACAGGGCCCTTGCCACCTTCCAGTGTTTAATTAATTCTGTCCACATTGGGCATATGCAGCTACATATCTGGATGATGTGGTAATAATCACTAGCAGCAGGGACAACCACATCCAGGGGATGAAAGCAGCACTGCATTCACTCAGATTGGCATGTTTACAACCAACCCAGCTAAATGCCTCTGAAGGCAATGTCTGTCTGTCTGAGGTGCTGCGGACCAGCTGGCACTCATAACCTCCTACTGAGACTGGAGCCATAAGAAGGCTTAAGAACTCCCTTGGGGGAGTGCTGGAGGACAGGAGGGCAGGCTGCTGTGCTGGGAAAAAGCCCAGAGTTAAAATTGTCCCTCTCCTGATGCCTGAAGTAAGACAGAGGGTTTTGGTTTTGGTTGGTTGGTTGTTCTGTTTGTTGTGGAGACAAGATTGCTCCATGTAGAAAAAACTAGTCTGTGAACCTGAACCTGGAGCTGACTTGCCCTTCTAGGACAGCAGGGTAGATAACCTGCTTAGGCATGCACAGTCCTTGTCCAAGACAGAGTGGAACTGTCTGGAGCCTGAAAAACTTCACTTTACCCTCTTAAAATTGAAAAGCTAAGAACTCTCTACACAGAGTCTTCTTATATAAAACTGGTAGCTTTTTAGTGGTGCGACAAATTTTACTCTGTACTTCTGTTTCTTTTGCTTTGCGCCCATTTTGGGCACATCTAGTGCTGTTATAGAACCACTAGAACCATGGCTCCTAACACCAGTCAGTTTTTAAATGAAAAGAACTGCAAGGCACATATGAGCAGACCCGTTTATTGCTTTGGGCTGGCCAGACTGTGTGTGACATCACAGGTTTAGTGAGGCCTGTGGGATGCTGCCTCTTCATCTCCACTCTGCTTGGTTTTCCTTTGCTGTAGAGTTGGGTGTCATGAGGGAAGAAAAGTTTGGCTTTCGTAGGGAGCTAGGCACTCTGCTCTTCAGCTTATTCAGCTTGTCCCTCTCATCCTGACACTTCTTCAAGCAGGGATGGCACAAGTCTTTCTCTTCCACTAAGTAAAGTGATTCAATGCGCTTGATGGTGTCGACAAACAATTCTTCATCTGATGGCGTGGGAAAGGGGTTTCTTTTCACATTCAGCTTCTTAAGTTTTGGGAGCTTTGCCACACTGTTTGGGATGGCTGTCAAGTAATTGTCAAAGAGGCCCACTTCGTGTAGCTCCTTCAGGGCCCCTAGTGTGGTGGGGATGTTGTCAATCTGATTCAGGCCAAGGTTGAGGGAGCGGAGGTTCTTTAACTGGCTCAGTTCTACTGGCAAGTTCTTGGAGGTCAGCTTGTTATTGCAGATGTTCAGGTAGCTGAGGTTCTGGAGCATGCCTATTGTCTCCGGCAGCTTCTCGATCTGATTGCTGTGCAAGTCCAGCCAGCGCAGGTTCTGAAACTTCTCGATGCTGTCAGGGACTTTCTTGAGCATGTTCCTGCTCAGGTCCAGCTCGTCCACATCAGCCAGCTTGAGGATGCACTTGGGGAAGGTTGTGATGCCCATCTTGCTCAAGTCAAGGCGGCGTCTTCCGTCAAATGTGATCTTGATGGAGTTTTTGGCAACCTTCAAGGTGATCTTTTTTCCTTTGGGACCTTTTGCCTTCCCCTTGGCCATTTTCCCGTGAGGAGAGAAAAGACTGTTGAATATGCTGATGGAGAAGCCCAAAGAGAATCTGTTGAGGCTGATATCTGGTAATCCCTAATTCGGAACAAAAAGTGACCCCTTTAGAAATTAACCAATGACTACTAGATTCTTTGCAACTCACAACATTTTCCCTAAGTCATGAGTTCTCAACTCAGGCATCATTACCTCCTCCTCGCCTAAAAAAGTATCACAAATAGAAATCAGGGGGTTGTGACCACCCTGCCCAACTCTTACGTATAAAAAGAGGGGTCACAGCTAGATCACAGAGAAAAGGAGACTCACCTTGGGAGAAGTTTTTCAACACTAGATTAGGACACTAAAGGACTTTAAGAATTAGGATTTTTTAGCTGTTCATTGAATCCAATTTATTCTAGTACTAACTGACGTATTGCCATCCATTGGCCATTTGAAGGCGAGAAGGAAATTGTAGGTCTTGTTCTGGTCTCCAGTGGACATTTGCTCGACTGAATGAAGCACACCAACCAGAATGACACTAGTTACATGAGACGCTCTATGTCACCCAGAGTAGTGGTTTTCATAATTTTTTTGGCCACGTACCCCTTTTACTGCAAAATATTTCTGTTTACATCCTCTATACCCAACATGTCTCTGAATGTTCATATCTTAGGAAAAGTATCAAAACGAATGTCAACATGCAACAGTGCCATTACTCATTGTACATTATGAGTAATGGCACAACCATTATGAAAATGTAGACAACTATCCGTTGGTAAATTGCTACATACCCCATTTTGAAAAGCAGTGGCCTAAAGAGCAGGTATAGAAGAGTTTTCCTTTCCCCTGGAGTACTATAGTTACATATGCTGTACAGTGGGATGAGGATTTCATCCCTAGTATTTAAATATATTTTAAGTACAAAGCTCAAGAGATTTGCTGAATTGGGGCCTTAGTCTATGGATAAATACACACGTTTGGGGAAGTTAGATCACATTTAAAATGGCCACCCTGATCTAAGGTAGGTTGGGAAGGGGGGTAGTTGGGGGGGATTGCTGTGGTCAGGGGAGACAAGCAGGCTCAGAGAGAGGATTGTGAGTCCACAGTGGGAATGGGGGACAAGTGGGATCTGCTGGAGTGATTGGGGGATCACTAGGAGATCGGGAGTGCAGGCAGCATCTGTGGGAGGGATCAGGGGTGCAGGCAGCAGCCATGGGGGTACTGGGAGGCAGGCAGTATCTCAGGAAGATCGGGGATGCAGGCAGCATTAATTGGAGTGATGGGGTAACAGGTGGCAGCCACAGGGGGATTGGGGGGCCAGGTAATGTCCACAGATGGATCAGAGGGGCAACTGGCATCTGTGGGAGGGAATGGGGGGCAGGTGAAGTCCATGTGGGGACTAGGGAGCAGGCAGTGTCTGCAGGGGGAACAGGGGTGCAAGCAGGATCTGCGAAAGCAATCGGGAGAAAGCAGCGTCTGCAGGGGGGTTGGGGGAGCAGATGGTGTCTGTGGGAAGGATCAGGGTGCAGGCTGCATCCATGGAAGCAATTCAGTAGAAGGCAGCATCCACAGGAGTATTGCAGGGAAGGCAGTGTCCATGGGGAATTGGGGGGGAGGGGTAGGCAGTGTCTGTGGGAGAGATTGGGGACCCAGGTGGTGTCTGCATGAAATTGAGGGGCAGATGGCATCCATGGCGGGGATGGGGGGGACAGGTAGCATCCATGAGCATGATTGAGTGTGCAGGATGCATCTGTGAAGGGATCTGGGGGCAGGCGGCATCTGTGGGAGTGATCGGGGGGCAAGTAGCATCCACAGGGTGATCGGGGGGCAGGTGGTATCTGTGTGGATTGGGGGGGTAGGCAGAGTCTGTGGAGGTCCTGGGGGTGCAGTTGGCATCTGTGGGAGGGATCAGGGGGCAGGCAGCATCTGCAGGAGGATTTGGGGGGCAGGTGGGAACTGCAGGTGGTTGGTGGGGTCTGGGAGAGTTTTCTGGAATCAGGGGATCTTGAGGGGCCTGGGAGGGAGATGGAGGGGGCCCAGGGGCTATTTTTAGCCCCTGACTCCCCCTGGTGAGCCTACATCCCCACCTCTCTCACCCCTCCCCCAACTGATACTTACTTCGGCAAACACTGATAAAACTGGCACCTGGAGCAGCTTGTGGGAAAGAGGGTTCGGGGGGAGGGTCTGGCTGGTTCAAGGGAGGCGGGGTGAGGAGTTAGGGGGCTAAAAGTAGCCTGGTTTTGGGGTGGGGGTTAGGAAAAGTGTCACCATGGGACTGGGGCCAGTACCTGGGCTTTCCCAGCCCTGGGTCCGTGCAGGTAACTGTACTGAAGTTCAACGTACCGGTCTAAACTAAATCAATTAAGTTTGAGTGTACATTGATCCAGGTCTATTTTAAACTGGGTTCCACCATTTTAGACCAGTCTATGTGCATGAGCTTCTGTACTGTTACAGTTTTAGATTGATTTCCAGTCACCAAGACTGGGTCTAAGTGTAAGGTAGGCATCTGGACAACCTAAGTTAGATTGGGTGGCCATTTTTAACCCAATATAACCTCCCCCTAACCACCTGGAATATCTGCACTTAGCCAATGCTAAAATAAACACAATACAAGGGTTAAAGCCAGCCTATCTACATATGGTAATTTCCTTTGACTTTAATAGTGTTACAGAGGATGTCAGTCTAAGCACAGTTTGACGTAATGTGTTAAAACAAAAATGATTTGGGGTCATCTGCAGGAAGCTTCAGAAATTCGTAGATTTTAAGGTCAGAAGAAGCCATTAGACTGTCTGAACTGATTCCGTGGATATTACCAGTGCTGTTACATTTTGCCTGTTTACTGCTGACCTGAGCCCAAAACTATGTTTGACTAAAGCATACCTTCCAGACAGGCATCCAAACTTGATGTGTGGACATATGGAGATGGGAAGTCCACCACTGCCTTTGGGATCTTTTTCTAATATTAATCACTCTGCTTTTTAGGGCCTTAGCAGACATTACATTTATAATGTGATTAATGTATTAATCACACCATAAAGAGTAACTCTGCCACACATTCAAACAATTAATGACATGACAAAAATGAGAAACCAGTCACAGTAACTTTCATTCAGTATCAGAATATGTGGAACATTTTTATGTCTAATTTCCATTATGCCTTAAATTGAATGTGTGTCAAGGTAAAGCCAAGCCATGCTTCCTGATGCTGGCTGCATGGCAGGTCTTTACGTTCATCAGCTGGTGTAGGGTGGCCTGGGGACATCTCCAGTCTGCAGCCATCCATGCGCTCGGTCCACAGCACTGGCAGCTGGGCATTGGAGAGCTTTAGGTGCTAGGACATGGGAAGCCTATTATTTGATGGGTTAACTGCATGCCGGCAAGCTGAAAGGGTGCCATGGGAATCACAGCATCAGGGACTGGTCCCAATACTGGACTTCCTGCAGTGTCCGTACAACATCCACACAGGCAAGAAGTCCAGCACTGGGGACTGAGTCCCAGATGCTGGCCTCCCTACCCACCTGGCACATGAGTGGCATCTGACAAATGTTACCTTTGTTCTCAAAAATTGCACGTTCTGCCATACATGTGATGTGGAAGGACGTGCAGTTTTCAGGGTCCAGGAAAAAAATTGTTTGATCATGATAGTATAATGAAATTAATGCCTGTCAGGAGCCTTAAAAAGACATGCTTTATTTCTCATTTGAATTAGTCTGTCTTTAGCTTTCTGCCCCTTCATCTCATTATGACTTTCTTCTTGTTATGACTTTCTCCAGATTAAATAATCATTTAGTATTCAGTACTTTCTTCTAATGAAGGTACTTATACACCATAATCACATCACCTCTCACTCTTTTTTCATGAACTCAACAGACTGAGTTCTTAGGCTGTCTGCCTAGCATGTCTTCCAGACCTTGAATCTTGTTCTTTTTTTAGTTTCTTTCCTATGCTTTCTCCAGTTTTTCTTCATCTTTTTTTAAACCAGACATCAGAACTGCATAGAAATAGATGCTACAGAAGGGCCACATAAAAGTATATAAATCTTTTGGGCCCAATCACCTGGTCCAAAACCCACTCAAGTCAGCAGAAGCCTTCAGCAGCTCCTGCTGTGACCCGCAGAGCCAGATTCTCAAAATACCTTGTGACCCAGATGCCCTGGTAATAAAATAAGTTTAAAACACTCAGAAGGAAAATACAGCTGGTGAAAAATATGTTGAACTCTGCTGAAAATCCAGTCCATAGTAATTGACAATGATACATACATGCTTAAAGTTAAGCACGTGCTTAAGTGAATTGCTGAGTTGAGGCCTGTTGTGATGATAAAACATTGTTTTCTCAGGGTTCCCAAGCGTGAAGACATCTTTAGTAGCCTAGGTCATCAAAGACAACTAATAATAGGGACAAGTGGTAAAGGAAATAGACTAACTCACTGGAAATGACTGACAGCAAGAGAAGCTGCCAGGGAGATGCGAGGAGCACAGGTTACAGCTGGCTAATCTCTAGCTGATCCCGGTGCTCTGGCATTTAATTGTAAAGAGTCAAATCACAGCTTTGATAAATGATTGTTTGGGAAGCAATATGGATTTGTCTACAATACACTTCTCCATTAGAAAGGCTTCATTACAAACCCTTCAGGCTTTCTGGCTACTCATTAATCATGTGCAAGTACATGAAGGGGGAGCTCAGTCTGGAGATAAGGCATTTCAGCTCCTTCCAATTACATACTGTAGCCCAAAACAATTCTGAGGCAGGGTATTGGCACCAGGCCCCCCTCCCCCTTGGTCCTCTGAAATGAGACTGACCCTTCAGGAAGTTCTGGAAACAATGCAAGGTTTTAGTCTCACTCTCAATGCATTTCACCAGTTCTGAAGCCATGTTGCAGGATCTCCTGGAAAGGGGTTCAAGTGGTGGGTGCCCAGAAAAGAGGATTTAGAGGGGTTGAGGTTGCTCTCCATGACAGCTGTTTACTGAAGTCCCTGAGCTTGCCCAGGTGACTCTAGGAGCAGGTATGACCTGCAAACTCTAGCTTAGTGCCTCTGACTGATTCTAACAACAAACTTCCAGGAGTTTTAGGATTTGAAACAATATTCCCATTGACTGTCCTTAGAGCCTTCTAGCACAGAATGGGTTGTGTCATCATAGTCACGGGCACAGGGTGGCACCTTATAGCGCTCCAAAAGATGCACACTTGCTGGGCAGACAGCCCTGCTCCTTTGCCTCTACAGGTATGTGATTAGCAAAAGGGTGCTGTTGCCTTGGGCTAGGGACAGACATTCAAAAAGCCAGAGCCTGAATTGAATCAATCTTTGCATGTTAGTCTAACCTGCCTAGGTTGAACTAATTTGCAAGTGAATAGACATTCAGGAAATGCAAACATGCCATGGCTCAAGCCAGGAGCCAAAGGGTGCTAGAGCAGCCCTGGGGTGTAGGGTAGCTATGCTGGGGGGAGTGGGGTCCAGGTGGCCAGCCCCCACAGTAGCCTGAAGTGAAGGGATCAGGTTTAATTCCCCCCTCCCTGTCCCCATCGGCACGGACCCAAACCAGGGTCCACCAGATGCTCCGCCTTCACTGCTGCAGTGGTGGGGCTGGGGTACGGTCAAACACCAGTTGGCATGGCCCCCTGAGGCATAGGAGGTAGGAGGGGGTTATTCCCTCCTCTACCGCCACTGCCTCTGGGAGACCGCAGCTGGAGTCTGCCCACCCCAACTGCTTGCTCCCTATTTTGGGCAAGTGGCAGGATAAGCCCTCTCATGCCTTCTCTGCCAGATGCTGGAGGGAGGGGGGAATGACTGCCTTCCCTGCCCCTGTGCCTAAGGGTCCCTGCTGGCTGGCTTCTGCCCAGGCCCCCGATCCTGCTGCTGGTGCAGCAAGGGGGTCAAGGCCTGATGGGGCAGCAGCCCCTGTCCTGGTGTCTGGGGAGCACAAGCCTCTTCCTGGCAGGGGGGCTGCAGGTGGTGGGTCAGAACTGGTGCAGACTGCACAGGGTGAATGGCAGCACTGGGGTTCAGAGGGGGCCATGCCCCCCCCGCAAACCTTCCCCAGCGCTACTACTGCCGCTTGCCCTGTGCAGTCTGTGGCAGCTGTGCCCACCCCCAGCACAGCCCCTCTGCCTGCAGCGTGGCCCCCATGCCGGGAAGAGGCTTGCGCTCCCCAAACACCAAGGCAGGGGCTGTTGCCCCATCGGCCCTGCCTCCTCACCACAGGAACACCTGGCGGACTCTGGCTTAGGTCTGTGCTGGTGGGACAGGGAGGGGGGAATTAAACCCCATCACTGGCCAGTTCACTCCAAGCTATGGCCAGGGCTGGCCAGGCCCCCTCCGCTGGAGAAGCCAGTGGAAAAATGCAGGTCCATACTGGTGGGACGGGGATAGGGGGTGGGAGAGAATAAACTTCTTCCCTGCCCCCTTCCGGGTGTCCCTGTCTCTCCAGGCCCCCATCCCTGCGTGTCCCTGCTCGGGCACTAGTGTGGGGAAGGGATTCCTGGTCCCCTGGCTCCTTGCAATTAATGTAAAGTTGAATTAATTTCTTTGGTTAAACATTTCTTCTCTGAAAAAATGTTGATTTATATTGTCTGGTTTGTTGTTGTAAATTTACCTAAAAAATGCAAAAATATATCTTAACATTTCAGAAAAGAATCAAACATTTTTTCACACATTTTGAAATAAATATTTTGCTTTTTTCAATTAAAATGATTTCCCCCCAAATTTACTTGATCTTATTAAAAATGTGAAGCCCTCAAATGACACATTCTGGATTGAGAAAAATATTTTATTGCCCCAAATTAATGTTTTTCTGACTTTTCAACTCAATTGAAATTTCAAATTAAAAAAAAAATCTAAGTAGGCCTCCCAAAAATGTTTTTGTTATTTCCAGAATTGCCAGCACACCAACAAATGAGCTATTCAGGCAGCTATAAAACTGATGTTGACTGATTCAAGCAGGCATTAAGGAGTGCTGTATGTACTTCAGAACACCAGAGGGAGCCTAAGGAAGAAATCAGGAGGTAGAGCTGTTCCTTGAGGAATTAACCCAGTTTAAATCTTCTGGGGCATAGTGTATTAAATGCCCTGTTTGTGTTGGTGTAGGGGTTGAACATGGAGCCTTTCAGGGGCTAAAGCACAAGAGACTATTGCTTGAGATAAAGACCTGGCTCTGTTTGCCTGCAGGCAGTAGCAGATTCATAAACCTCTTTGCATGCTGTGCTTATAAAAATATTTAAGGGCCTTTAAGAGCCTATAGGTTGAGATAGATACTTTGTGGGACATTTAAAAATCCTAGGCTTTTGGCTATTAAATATCTGGATCATGATGACTTCACCTGAAATGCAGCATCCATCCTGCATGACATTCACAGTGAACTTACCAGGGCGAGATCTGGCCCCAGGAAGTGTTCATATTTTTGAAGGGATGCATGCTAGTAGCATGGTGATTGGGTTTCATATTTGAAGAAACAGCAATCCTGAAGCCTGCTGATCCAACTGAGCATTAGAACTCTGCAGCAGCACCAGGAGGACAAGGACAAAGGAATGGGATGAACAGCTCTCTAGTCTCTCCAGTTTTATTAACCAGTTAGCAGCCACAGAGCTGCGGTTGGAGATAATGAGAGCTGGTTTAGCCACATCTTGTTTTCTTTAGATCTTCTTAAAAGAGTTACAGCCCCTTTTAGCCATGGATATTAAAAATTCAGGCACTGCAGGGCCCAGCTTTGTGGTAGCTGTTAATTATAAAAATTCCAAAGCATGTTTGCCATTGACACTTGCTGGGAGAAGGAGGGCTTGGGTTTGATTCTTGCTTTGCAATCTGAAAAATGAATTGGGAACGGAGAAATATCCTTTAACAAACACCATAGGTCATCCATTTGGTTTCCCCTGAGTCAGCAGTGTACCACAGCCTGAGAATGGGGATGATGCATTGCAGGGTAGGTCTGCTTTCCAATTAAGTCTGTTCATAATCCTCTTTACTAGTCATAGTCCTTGCCTAGTCCTTTGTGCTAGATTAGACTGAGTAGCAGCTGGGATTCATAGAAGGGACCTCGGTAGGTCATCAAGTCTGACCCCCTGCCCTGGTCAAGCAAGAGTGCTGGGGTCAGTTAATCCACAATCATGGAGCTGGGCAGGGAACAGACTTCCCAGCCCTCACCAGCAGAGAACTCCCAGTGCCGGTTGTGTGACCGGCTCATGACTACGGAGCTGGCACTGGGAGATAAGGATCTCCCAGCCCAAGCCCCATGACCATTTTGCTGGGGCTGGGAGATCAGGATTTGTAGGTAGCAAATTTACTTGAGATAAATGAGGTTTACTGCGTAGTAAGTATGTGCACACGTAGACGTGCATGCTTACTGCACAGTACCTTATGCTACTGCGCAGTAAAGTGTTTTGTGTAGACAAATCCACTGTGAAGTAAATTAGTCTACTGTACAGTAAAGTGTCTCATGTAGATGTGTCCTCTGTGTCCCCTGGAGCTGTGGAGTGGGGGTAGAAAGTTGTGCTTCCCTGAGCACTGGTTTTGCACTTGCAGTTGGTCCCTGAGCAGGAAGGTTACGAGGAAAAGGCTCCTTGTTTCCTGTTATCTTCTGCAAGCCCATATAAGGGCCAAGCATGTCACATTGCAGCTTAGACCCTCTTATGTGGGTCTAAGGGAGTATGAGCATGTATTCCACCTGCTAGAGGGGCGCATCTGTACAAGATGCTAACTGCGCATTAGCCTAATAACACTGCGCAGTAATGTGCTAGGCATAAACCATGTCAATATGCTACTGTGCAGTGTTATTAGGCCATTGTGCATTTAGCATCACTAAAAATAAATGTGTTGGTGCTACTGTGCAGTAGTGCTAGTTACTGCATATTGATTTAATACTTGGTTATCCAAGTATTAAATTCAATGCATGGTAACTATAGCACTTAATGAGCGTGTAGATGTGCCCAAGAAGGTATAATTTGGTCTGGTTGCCATCTTTGCTACCATCTCAAGCTATCTTAAAAAACAAGCTTTCTCTTCTCGGGCTTCTCTTCTATACTAAGGCTTCTCTGCTTCTGGCTTCTCTTCTATACTATGGTTTCTCTTCTATACTAAGGCTTTTTTCTCAGAAATAATTTCTATTCCATGGTTGCCTTCATCTCTGGTCCTCTTTTAATCTTAGCTGCCACAGACTCTCTCCTGTTCAGACATTTCCCGACTTCCAGCAACTTTCCTTCCCATCCTATGCCAATTTTACTGTGCATCTATCAAGATAGGGTACTTTCTTTGGGTTGGGGGACATATCCATACTACTGGACATGCAGAGGTGCTATGTAGATAGCAATCAGTGAGTTATTAAATCCTTCGATAAATCTTCCCTTTCCACAAATTGCAATTTAGATTCGCCAAAAATAAGGGATCAGATACTAAGCTACCCATTTCCCACAAATCTGCTGGTTTAGAAGACAGGAGAAAGCACAGCTTTCTGTTCTGTTTCCCATGTTTGATCAGCTGTATAGAAATGCCCAAGACAGAGATACACTTTAAAGCCAAACTAGTTGCAACTGATATTTTGTTTTATGCCTTTTGTCCGCTACTTGGCAGGCATTGCAAACCATCGAAGGCTTTCATTTTCCTGCTTTCCAGCCTGTTACTGCTTCTTTGTTGTAGGATATGACCTACTGAGAAAGAGATTAATTTACTGACTTTCTAAAGCACAGACTCTGCTAACAGTCTGGCTTAGCTTAATTTGCATCCTGCATTTAGCAAGCATGAAAGAGGGTTCCCCTTGAATTCCTTTAACTTTCTAGATTGCTTCAGAACAACCAGGTTGAACAGCCTGCAACACAAATACTTGTAAACTGATGCTCGCTGAGAACAGAACTAAAGTTTCATTTAAACAAGCCTGAGGGATTGCAGTGCTGCATGTAATCTTACCGGATGACACCAAGGGAGACTTTACACCAACCGGAGCCCCATCACAAGCTGTCTTTCTTTCAGTGGCGTTGGCTGAGCTTCCATGGTCTGTCAGCAATCAGTCATCTTCTATCTAGTCTCCTCTGAATAATGAATTAACCTGTTCCCAGGTTTGTAAGTAAACTTCTTGTGCAGGGGGAATGTAGGCAGATTTGCTTTCCACACGCCTGCAAATTCTAAATCCTGCCTTCTTAAAAAAAAATGGCAATGTTTCAAGAAATTGCTTGTTGGGGGAAAAAGGAGGGGTAGAAAGGATTTACCCAACTACAATGCCACTCTATTCAAAGCTACTTCCACAGCCTGTGAAACTTCTGTTCCTAAGCAACAGGAATGCTAGGTCCTTGGAGATCATTAGCATAATGTTTGGTTCCCACATACAAGTTCAAATGGGAGCCGGAAAGAACTCAGTGCTCAGGTGCTGGAAATGGTAGATTGTAGTTTATGCAGACAGGGAGACTATTCTAACCAGATTAGGAGAGTAGAAATTTGCTAGCCGAAATCCTTAGCTGTTGGTTATAGTTACGTAGCCATTTCATGAGACTCAGCTGTATTGTAAGTGCAGTTTGCTTGGATGTGTATTTCTGCCCTTCTGTCCATGCCAGTTCTACTAGGTATAGAAAAAGCAGGAAGGATCACTACAATTTAATCCTAACACTGCAGCAGATGGCACAGGCTTCAGTCTGGAGTCATCTGCCTGTGATCCCTTGAGATGTTTATTCTTTCAGGTCTCTCTGGATGAACTTTTCCTATTGTGACTTGTAAATGTATTGGATTCTTCTCCTAGGCCTAGTTTAACAGGCTTGTACTTTTAATGTCTGGGTGGAATGGCTTCAAAGTGGAACCAATATGTAACTAGGGAAGAGAAATAACACTGATATACACTGGGCTCCTGGAAGTGCTGTCTTTCACATGAGATGTAAAATAGGGCTGTGCGATGTGTTTCAAGGAGATGGGTGCAGAGGTTTCTGGGAAACTGCACCTCAAACTCTTCAAAACAACTCCTGACACTTGCTGGCAGCAGCAGCCTCCTCTTATCTGGGTCACAGATCTGGGGGCTCACACCCCCAGGAGGAGTCTAGCACATCCCAGCAGCCCTCCTGGGGGTGCGAGCCCCCAGATCTGTGACCCAGATGAGAGGAGGCTACCTCTGCCACCTGGGACCAGTGCTGGGTGTGGGCTGTGCCCAGCACTGGAAAAAATTGCTGCTGCAGGTGGTGGCAGCAGCCTCCTTGCATCCGGGGCGCAGATCCGGGGGATGCTGGGCTGTGCCGGACTCCTCCTGGGGGTGCAAGCCCTGGGATTTGTGTGCTGCATGAAAGGAGACTGCCGCTGCTGCCTGGGACAGGTGGCAGCAGCAATTTTCTCTGGTGCTGGGCGCAGCCTATGCCCAGCACTGGTCACAGGTGGTAGAGGTAGCCTCCTCTCATTCGGGTCACAGATCTGGGGGCTTGCACCCCTGGGAGGGCTGTCGGACTGTGCTGGACTCCTCCCAGGGCTGCAAACTCCTGGATCTATGTGCTGGATGAGAGGAGGCTGCTGCTGCTGCCATCTGGGACCAGAGCTGAAGCCAAGTAAGCCCAGCTTCAAAAATCAAAACGTTTCAAAACTTGGTGATTATACTGTGACCATCTCTTCCCTGCAAACTGGAATGTACAAAGTATCTTTTGGTGCCTTAACTTCTCTGACCTGTACCTGAGTGCTATATTTCAGCAGTAAAAAAATTATCCCAGTGTCTTGTTTAAACACATGGTGCAGAAGGCATTCTACAAATGTGAGATATTCTTTTGTACTTCCTTCCATTCAAAGGTCTCAAATGATTTGACCCAAATTAATTATGCCTCTGGGTGCCTCTTGTGTGGGATGTAAATATAATTAACCTCATTTTGCAGAGAAGTAAACTGGGGCACAGAGAAGTGGCATGTCCAAGGTCTGACAGACAGAACTCAATACAGAAATACAGCCACAGTGTTCTTGAACCATACATTAGATATCATGCTGTCCTTAAACTCACAGAGAAAGGTTATAAGGCCACACAGACTGGTGATCAAAAAGCACTATAAGACCATATATCTGAATGATGGTATAAAAATTCACACTGTTGACTGTTATTGTTATTGTTTATATATTTGACATTTTTCCTTCATTCTTTGAGTAATGTAAAAATACCTGACACAGGAGACAGGTAAACTGGAGTGCAAGACTATCAGAGATAGGCAAACTAGAAAAGTCAGATAAAGACAGGCAAGCCTTTTTGTTCATATATTCATTTTTCAGTCTCACATTTTTCAAGAAATCATGTTTCGTGAGAACTATGCTTTAGATATCCAGCCAGCACATTCAGATATTTGTGAAAAAATCTATAAGGTGAAATCCTGGCTTCACTAAAGTCAGTGTGAATTTTTGCCATCAACTTTGGTGGGGGTGGGGAGGGATATCATCTCTGGGCTTTGGCACTTAACCTCCAGACCTGTTGAGGTTTACCTATGTCTAATGCACAGAAACATAAACTACAAGTAGGGTGAGGCCATAGACTGATCAACATGAGATAGGGAGTATGCTATCACTCATAAATCATCCAGCCAAACAAACATGGTTCTTTGAACATCCGTGGTGCTCAACTGCTATAATGCAGGATCCTAGAAATACCATGCAGTAGATAGATACACATTTCTATTCAATACAGATAAAAATTTATTCTCTCAAAAGAGTTCTTCCATTTGGAACTTTAAAGGAAAAATGCCTATCTTCTTTTGAGAACCTATTTCTTAAATTAACTCACTGCGTTATGGTTGCTGTCACTGTTGATCTGTTCTCAGCCAATGCTGGAGGATCAGGATTTGATGAAAGATGGCCAGAAAAGTGGGAGTAAAAGGCTTCAGTATCCCTGTAAAGTGACTAATATTCTAATCTCTTGTGAGTCATCACATTAGATGACAATTCCAGAATCTTTGGGGACAGGAGGAGCCAGCTGTTCCAAGCCATTGTATCCCAGCAGAATGTTTATGGGAAGAATGATTGTTATCTAGATTTCATAGATTTCATAGACATTAGGCCTGGAAGGG